TTTAGTATATACTAAAACAGTGGATAGTGTTTTTCGCGCGCTCTGATTGGCTACTCAATCAGTGAATATCCTGCACTATTCACTGATTCACCTCCAGTTCCTCGGAGCGAGTGACGCCAAACTCGTGTAAGTTGCAAGCAAAATGCCTTCCCGGTCTGCTGCCGTAAACAAACAAAGAAATTTCACAACTAATCAAGCAAGCTGTCTCCGAAATACACGAAGAAGGTGACGAAGTTCGGATTGGAAGTTTTAACAGGTAAAGCTTTGTCTTTTTGACACGAATTTATCGATAAAACCGGTGAAAAAGTTTTTTGTTTACAAATGCAAATGAAGCTTAAGTCTTGCTTACTTTATTTAGTTGAGTTGTTCATAAATAAGCTTAAAACTAAATTTAGTAATCTTTTTTTATAGAATGATTTTAAATACAAAAAGAATTCACAACTCCTTTTGAAGAAATTTCCCCGCAAGAGCTAAATAAATGCCTTCAAAAGTTTTAGTTGCTGGCAAGAAAAAGCGACGGCCGCGGCCGCCCGGTCATTACGCGCCAAAATTGTAATCGTTGGCAACAGTATTTGAGTTAAAAATCGTCGTTTTTGTGCTCAATTATCTCACTGTTTTAGTATATACTAAAACAATTATTCACCTCAGTGTCGGTGGCTAGTCGTGGATATTTACCTCACTGCTTCGCAGTTCGGTAAATATCCAGGACTAGCCACCTCCACTTCGGTGAATAATTGTTATCTATTTACAGATTCAAGAATATGAAATATTAAAATATATACCCCATGTACATTCTTCAACAATTATAAAAAGCATCAAAAAGTTAATAAAAATAAATAAATAAAAAAACTGTTTAAAAATAATAATTCAAACTGATAAAAAGTTACTACTTAAATTCTGGCTTGCGCACTTTCGGAAGTAATGTCAATGTCAGATATATTGGCTGCTTTTCTCTTGCTCCTGGTTCCTCTGAGACACAGCAAGGCTGATCGTAGGATGGCAAAGGATACTTTCGCCCTTATCCAAGATATGGTTGTAGCGTAATCATCTCCTTCCAAGATATGGTTGTAGCGTAATCATCTCCTTAATAATAATAATGATAATAATAATAATAATAATAATAATAATAATAAAGTCAAGAATCTGGGAAAGGAGATTACTTATGTAAAGATCCTCGCAAGGATTCAGGTCTGTCGTACTAACGAATTCATAGACCTTCATCTTGTTTCATTTTTATTAATCAGGGGCGGATCCAGGGTTTTTTTTAGGAGGGGGTGCACTCGTCTCTTGCTCTACTTCAACACCAATAAACCACATAGTTTTTTTTTTTGCAGAATACCAGTTGTATTAGAAAACCGCAGGTCATCTCAGGGGGGAGGGGATGCGTACCCCCTGCACCCTCCCCCTAGATCCGCCCCTGTTAATATAAAAGATCATAACAATATTCACTTGCTTGACAGTCTTTTTACATCAGTTATCAAATATAGTTTATATATTTCCTTTTTCAATTCAAAATCAAGGACGTTGTCACACATTAACACATCTATAACTCAACATTAAGTGGCAAAATTATTCACAACTCTCCTGCCCCACAAGAAAATGTCCAAGAATGTTACTTGAAAGTGATGAGAAGATACTGAATGAAACCCAAGTGAACGCACGTACATTGAAAGCAGGATTGATAAAAGGACTCAACTGTGTTAAAAATTCACTTACGAATACCCGAAGAGATCTGAATTCGATTTCTCATATAGTAGTAAGCTGGGGTCTCTCAATACCCCCGACCCCTCCTCCCCCCTCCCCCTGCCGACTACTTCCAAGCCCCTAGCTCTAAACTTTATTTATTGTAGTATCCAGTCCGGACGCTACCCTTCGATGAGAAAGAAATCACTGCGAGCAACCGTTTCCATTTCCATCGAGCATGCGCGTCCACGTGATGACTAAGAATGTCCAACGACAAGACGGCAACGAAAACTTCATCAAAACAATAGGTTTAATCAGCAAAACAACAACTTTGCACGTGCATCACGCTTTTATTTTTGCATTTCTTTGCCATTTTTGCACGACTACGACGTAAAGATGCTTAATTTTGCGTTTTATGGATAACATAAACAAGCAACGACGAAATTTATTCTTCTTTTCGCTCTTGAACTTAGATATGGTCTCTTGGAATTCAACTCCATTTGGGTTCGCCTACATTTGACAAAGTCAGTAGATAGGAATAAATAATCCAAAGAAATACTGAATATCCACAGCAGGCTCGCGTTAAGACAGCAATTGTAAGCGTAAGCAAATGCGCGAGAGCCTAAACTTGCTTTCAAACAGGATTTACATGTTTAAAGTTAATTTATTCGTCGATAGCGTTGGACGGCGGCTCGATCAAAGAAGCAGACGGATGCTCGCAGTGGTTTCTCTCCCTTCGTAACGTAGCGTCCGGCCTGGAGAAACCACTGCTTGCAGGGTACCCCCAAATTGATGATGGCCAACCCACGCTAAGCCTCAACCCCCTTGACCCTCCCCAACCCCCCCCCCCCGGCACCGCTCCCCAGCCCCATAAATTATGAACGCCCCCCTTTCTATATTCTTCAAGGATACATAACTGGAATTCCATATGTAGAATTTTGCCAGACGTGACTTACTGTCCGACGGGAAGTTGAATGCCTCAAGGTTGATTTTAATATTGAGGGGAGCATTGTTGCTGATTTCATAGTGTTGGAGTCACGATTTAGATGATGTATTTAGCGAAGCCATATTTGCTAATAGCTCTTGTTCTATGGCTACTACGTTTCGAAACAGGTAAGGATCTGTGTTCAGTAGTTTGTAAATTTAATAATTAATATGAAGTCGCTTTTATAGG